AAAAAAAACGGCGCATGCGTATTTTGGGCGCCCGTATTTTTTCTAAGTTTTTTGGCGGGAAAATTAAAAAAAATTAAACAGAGTTTGCTATGACAAAATATTAGCCAAAAATTATTTTAAGAGCAACAAGATAGCATTTATTCAACAAACACCGAAGCAAAGAAATTAAAACACAAACTTTGCAAAAATCAATTACTTTTTAATCAGTATTCTTTGCTAGAAATACTTAAGCAAAACATTTGGACTTTAAAATTGTTGTTACGCGAGCCTTCTTGTTTGTAAATCATACTGCAAGTTTGTTTTCTCTATGCAGAACTACTCTGAAGGTTTAATCAGTCGCGTAAGATAGTTATAAACGCCCAAAAACTTCATTAGAGGTCGCTGTACCGAGTTATACGGTACAATGTTACCGCACACCGCAAGCTTACGATAAGTGAGCAGCACGAATTGTTTCGTGTAAACCAAACTCACAACTTCTCAAGCAAGTTGTAGGTTTTTATTTACACAGAACAATTTGTTTTGTCCACTTGCCGTAAGTTGTGGCTTTCGGTAACGTTGTACTGTATAAAACGGTGCATCAACCTCTGATGAAGTTGTTAGGCGTTTATAACTATCTTACGCGACTGATTAAACCTTCAGAGACGGTCTACAGGGAGAAAACACAAAATAAGGCATCTAAAAACGAGATAAAGGCTTAAAATTAGCGAGTAAATGCTTTCAGTTACGCAGAGCTAAGCAAAGGAAGTTTTGGTTACAATCGAGTTGAATATTTTGCAGAAACAATACAGCAATTCAATTGAGAGCAGCAAAAAATACAAATCAGATGTTGTTCGCTTTAGTGTATACTGTCAGATTTGTATGACTGAAAATTAACGTCACTGATCTTAACGTTTGGTAAAAAATCATGATACCCGATGCGCGCTCGTTAAAACTAGAAAGAAAGTGCTTCGAACCTGTAAATTTAGTATTCCTTTTGCAAATTGAAATTAATATTGGCTTCGAACTGGAAAAATTAACGAGTCCTTTGAAACTATGCTTACACTTTTCGCTGGATTTAAATCTAGCAATCTATCTTACCGTATCCCCACTGGACTTGTCTAGCATTCCCTTGGCGCCTTCTCGTCTCTTCCCTTGAGCTCCTTTTCTGTCTTGATCGTGATGTACTCCTGAAATAAATAAAAGTTGATTTAGTATACATATTTTCTTGTTAGTTTAATTCATTTGATTCTTGTCAGTCTGATTCATTGTACAAATGACTGTGCGGATATTTTTAAAGAAACAATTCTTTTTTAGTTTTCTTGAAGAAAGTATTCCTCGTTTTAATTAGTACTCGCAAGCTTAATTAGTCATTGATTTACTCAATTGTAAAACTATTTATTTGTATTTAATTAGAGAGCGAGAAAGTGAACTGCTTCAATTTAAAGTTCAAATAATTTGTTCCCCTCAGAGATGTTTATAAATTTTTCGATGCAAAGTATTGGTTAATTTAAGCTAATCCAAAGCTCATTAATATGTCACTTGATCTCCAGTTGCATTGATGAATTACTTTATTCTCATTGCCCGTATGTTGGAAACTATATCAGTAGTGTTGTGAGAAAATAAGAGCTAATAACTCTTGAGAATCGAGATGTTTCAAACTCATTATTTGCGCAGAATTCTAGTGACTAATCAATCAGAATATAATGCAAGGTTTAGATCAATCATGTCTCTTAGACATGATTGATCATATCAAATACCATTACCGCCCAAGAACAAGCAGTTCTCCACATACTAAGAGTGAACTTAGCATTTACTGACCTGTGAGGACTTTATGTGACTCCATCTTGAAGGTGACGTCATGCCATGTGCTCCATGTTTGCCTGATTAGTAAGAAGGAAACAGACATTTTGAGTTTTGAGTTACAATTATCACACTCCATCTAAAATTAATTTCCTGGAAAATTCTATTCCTGGTCGAATCGTAACGCAGTCTTTGAACAAATCAATAAATAACAAGGTATGTGAAAGCCTCGGTAAAGAGGTAAACAAAACAAATCTTTTCATTAGTTTCTTTGTTTAACCAGAATCCCGCAGTAACCAACTTTCAGTTTTTATTTCATGTTGCCTACACGAACAACATCAAAAACAGCCAAAAACAAAATTCTACAAATAAACTGGTCTGAGAAAACACAACATAACGAGTATGGGAACAGCTGCTCTCTCCTGGTTATGCGCTCCTAAATCGACCTAGTCACTCTTCGAGCACTGAACTGTCAAACAAATTTTTGCAATATGTGATATTGTTTGACTGCCAAGAATTTAAAGGATTATCCTGATTTGTGCTTATACTTTAATGAGAAACAGTGGACATCCTTTCTGCGCATAAATTATTGCTTATTGAATTTTCTAGAACGTGTAACGACCCAAGAAATTTAACGCACATCATATCTAGTGACTAATCAATCAGAATATAATGCAAGGTTTAGATCAATCATGTCTCTTAGACATGATTGATCATATCAAATACCATTACCGCCCAAGAACAAGCAGTTCTCCACATACTAAGAGTGAACTTAGCATTTACTGACCTGTGAGGACTTTATGTGACTCCATCTTGAAGGTGACGTCATGCCATGTGCTCCATGTTTGCCTGATTAGTAAGAAGGAAACAGACATTTTGAGTTTTGAGTTACAATTATCACACTCCATCTAAAATTAATTTCCTGGAAAATTCTATTCCTGGTCGAATCGTAACGCAGTCTTTGAACAAATCAATAAATAACAAGGTATGTGAAAGCCTCGGTAAAGAGGTAAACAAAACAAATCTTTTCATTAGTTTCTTTGTTTAACCAGAATCCCGCAGTAACCAACTTTCAGTTTTTATTTCATGTTGCCTACACGAACAACATCAAAAACAGCCAAAAACAAAATTCTACAAATAAACTGGTCTGAGAAAACACAACATAACGAGTATGGGAACAGCTGCTCTCTCCTGGTTATGCGCTCCTAAATCGACCTAGTCACTCTTCGAGCACTGAACTGTCAAACAAATTTTTGCAATATGTGATATTGTTTGACTGCCAAGAATTTAAAGGATTATCCTGATTTGTGCTTATACTTTAATGAGAAACAGTGGACATCCTTTCTGCGCATAAATTATTGCTTATTGAATTTTCTAGAACGTGTAACGACCCAAGAAATTTAACGCACATCATCAACCATTTCAACGAGCCTGCTCCCCACAGTGGTAATCTAATAAAGCGTATGCCCTTGCTTGTTAATAAAGGAAAAAAGTTGATTCTAGAGGCGAATAAAGAAACCAGAGGAGATATACAACAATGCTCTCCAGAGGGAAATTAACACAGGAGCTACCCGCATGAAAGATCTCTACTCGCATCAGCTAAATGATGTATAAAGCACCCTACGTTAGTTCAAACGTACCCTTAGTGGTAAAATAGCTAGTAAGACATAAACGTTTGATACATACCATGAGCAAGAACACTGAAGACTGTTGTGTCACTTCGAATCTTCCACTTGCTTGCGTTGCCACTCTAGGTCCAAATACGAAAAGGAATCGTCCCAGAGGCCAGTATTAATTAAGCTCCACTGAGAGAGTTTGCCGTCTTGTGAATGTTTTGCAACGGTTTTTGTAATCTAAAACGGTATTAGACGAATTTTATAACCACGAAGCCGAACTTCCAAACTCCTCGTGTAAAAGTGATGATAAAGAATGAATACCAAATTAGAATAAACCATTTGCAATGGAAATCAAACATGTGGGAATGTAGCCAATATTTGAATGACGCTGGGGTATATGAGATCAGTAAATGGACAGA